CCCCAAAACCCCAAAACCCCAAAACCCCAAAACCCCACTGACTTAATAAAAAATTGATATTTTAAATATGAACAATCTGAGAGAAGAAGATAATTCTTATCAAAGTGATCAGGACAGCCTGAATTCAAGTGACAAGGAAGGACCTATCTCTGATACGAAGAATCGCATGATAAAAGAAGAGGAAGGACAGCCAGAACCAGAGAACACCACAATATGTGTGAGAGTTAAGACAATGGATGAACAAGAGAAGAGATTTCAAATGAGCCTTGAAGATAAAATATCAGACCTTAAGACGAAGATTTTAGATGATTTGGAGATTCCTATTGAACGTCAAAGACTCATATACATGGGCAAGCAACTAAAAGATAATCTAACCCTTCTTGAATGCAAACTAAAAGATGACTCATGCATTTTATTAGTTGCAAATAGAGCTCAGAATAGGAATGAGCCCCCAAGAAGAGCTCCAGAGAATCAAGAACAATCTTCTCAAAATGATGGAGAATTTGGTGCCTTCCTACTTAATGCTCTAAATGAATCTGCGCAAATGAGGAGGAATAGAAGATTATTGTTTCAACAAAATGCTAGTTCTTTCTTGAGAAATATCAGACTTAATATTAATGAAAGCAGGGAGGCAATCACACAAAATATTGCATCCACTCAATTGCTTCTAGATACTAGAACTGAAGTAGAAGAGCTTAAAACTCTCCAGCCAGATGTATCTAACTCAATGAATTGCTTTGACTTTGAGAAGAGACATCTCAAAGTAGGTCAATGGGTAGATGTCAAAGATACAATAAATCAATGGCTTGAAGCTCAAGTAGTAGAGATTAGAGATAATAGAGCATATGTTCATTATAACGGATGGGGGACCCGATGGGATGAGTGGATCCAGATTGACTCCCCTAGGATAGCTCTCTTCAGGACTCACACAATCCAAGCTGCAACTAGTCAATATTTGAGTCCATGACCAAACAATCCTCCCGATTCGGCTGAAAACGTATCTCTCCGTACTGAAAATGATACAAATCTGGATAACTTAGAAAAAGTTATCGAATTGTCATCAAAGTCGCTTTCTTTGATGAAAAAGCTGAAAAGCTTAAAGAAAAAGTACAATAAAAGAGTCAAGTTACAAAAAGAGAAGAAGTATCAAGCCACTTCAAAAGCTCTTGAGAAAATTCATGAAGAAAGTAAATCAGAATTAGCTAGAGAAGAAATGAAAGAAGAAATTGACAAAGAAGATGAAGAGTTTGAACGAATGAATTTCAAAGAAATGGCTACAGAAAACTCTCTGCTAAACCAACAGATAATGATATTATCTGGCCAATTAGCACCTATTATGGATAGGGTTGGCCGAATGTACACTGATTTCTCTCCTCATTTACTTCACAGTGTAAATAACTACAACGGAAACATCAACAGCAGTAACGTCAACAACAGAGATAGGAACACTCACGAGAATGCTGAAAGAAGCAGAACCCATCACCCAAGAAGAAGAGAAAGACTTAGAAGTGAAGATAGCGAAGAAAGCTCTGATGATGACTTCTCTAGAAGAGACAGTGATGAATCTGACAATGAGGATAGAGACAATACCCAACAAGAAGGACAACAGAGAGATAGAAGAGAAGATAGTCATGAAATCAGAAATAGATTAAGGTCTATTTCAAGCACAATCAGTAGGATTAGATCTTCTATCAGCTCAATGAGATCTTTAATATTTAATAATGTTGAAGAAGACAATGAATCTAATAATAATGAATCCAGAAATGAAGAAAGAGAAGAAAGAAATGTTGCTGTGAACGCACAAATCCCAGTGATTTCTTCACCAGGAGACATTGCATCAGTACATAGTAGACTTAATAGATTTATTAATGGATTGACAATTGATCAAGGATCACTTGATAGAATGCTAGATAGACAAGCAATGAATGGAATGGAAACAGAAGGATTTATTAGTAGCTTAGCAAATAGAAATAATCCAGGGCAGAATTCAAACGGATCAAGAAACCCAAGAGATGATTCAGGAAATAATCCAACAGAGAATCGTCAAGAGAATCCTTCCCAAAATAATGGAGAAAGAATTAATAGAGAAGGGCAAAGAAGGAATCAGAATACTGAAATAAATCATGACCACAATCATATTCATGACCACCATCATCACACTTCTCCAAATCTATTTGATCTCCTAGGCCCAGCCGGAAACGGCAGAGGTGGCCTTGGAATATTAGGAAATAATTTAGGAGGACTTGGTGATGCTTCTGATACAATTGAGTTTCATATACATGCCTTTATGCCAAATTCTAATGGACCAAGTCCTCTGGCTCCTAGACAACCAGATGTTCCTCTCCCACGCCCAGAGAATCACCTTCCTCCTTTTGCTCCTCAGATACCTCCTTTGCAGGCTCAAATGCCACCTCCAGAACTGCAAGCTCCACCAATAGGTGAGCCTCAAAGACCTGAACTAGTTGATGCATCTACTTCTGCAGATCCTCCTCAAATGAGATCCACATCTGTTCAGACTGAAGGAATCAGGATAAGAAGAGATAGGAGAGAAAGAAACAGAGAAAATGGAACTACCTTCAATAAAAATCCTTTCAGCCGTTAATTCCAATTATTAATAAATTTCCATAGTGATTTTTAATTTGGGGTTTTGGGGTTTTGGGGTTTTGGGGTTTTGGGGTTTTGGGG